TGGCAACTCCATCCCCACTGTTGCAACGACAGTTTTCTGATTATTTCCTTATAGTTGTATTCAGTTATGTCTTTTTGGATCTTATCACTGAAGAATTGTAGTGTGATGGCTAATCTCATTGTGTCCCTTCTGACAAGCTCTAGTGGACATGGTAGCCAGACAGGACCTGGGATGGCCAGGGACTCCCTGTAGGGAGTGAGTTCACAGCCGTGGGTGCACATCATCAGTGGCCTTAACTTGGTGAATGTTCCCTGGGGACCCATTTCCAAACCCACACTGCTCACTAGTGGGTCCAGGATGGTGCCCAAAGGAGAAGCAGGTATGCAGTCTGTGGGTAGTAACCCTAACTGCCACAGGTGAAGCCTGCACACCCTCCAGCTCTGCCATGCCACTTATTGAGTGGGAACTGTATAATTTTTAAAAAACTGCAATGATCTATATTTAAAGGTGCATGAGCTGGCAGTTAGGCTGATGCATGTTTATCTCTTCACTTTTGTGGTGGCAACACTTATGACCCACTCAATCTGCAATTCTGAAAGAAACAACACGCTGTGTGAACAGGAGACGTCTTGCTGTGTGTCATGCGTGCATCACGGAAGCTCTGTTCCCAGGGACCAGCAGTGCTCCGTCCTGCCCTGTCCCCACCCCGTCCCCGCCCCTGGAAACCCGTCCTGTGCTGCTGTGAGCACAACAGCTCAGATTCACGCGCAGGTAAGACCCAGCGGCCTGTGCCTTCCTGACACTCCACCAGCCGGGGGTCTTCCTGCTCCTCCAGTGCTGAGTGAAAGGACTCCCCCTTCCTGAGGCTGCCTGCATCCTCCTGTGCATGCACATGGCAGCTTCCTCTCCCGTCCACCTGCTGACGGGCAGTTCCTTTCCATGTCGTGCCTGATGCTGCACAGAACACGGGAGGGCCGACACCTCTGAGGTGCTGATTGTTCCTTTGGGCATATGACCTGGGGTGGGTTGCTGGATCACATGGGAGCTGTTTTTGATTTTTTGAGGGGCCCTCATCTGTTTTCTCCAGTGGCAGTGCAAGGCCCCTTCCTCCACACCCCACCAGTGTTCGCCTCTTGTCCTTCTGATGACAGCCCTCCTTGCAGGTGTGAGGTCACCTCATGTGGCTTTGATTGCCTTTCCCTGTTGATCTGGGATGGTGAGCACCTTGCCACATGCTGGACAGGCCGTGCCACTTTAGAGGTCTCATCCTGCAGAAATAACTCACACCTACCTGCAAGAGTGTTCTTGCAGCAGAAATCATAACAGGAGAAAAGCCCCTTGATATACATGTCAAACAACAGGGGGATGTTGGGAGAAATCAAGGCACTAGCATGTATCACATGCTCTGATAGGGCTCTGAGCTGCCACTGACCAATGCAGCCCATTTCTCCTAAAAGAAAACTTATGGTTATACATTGGTACATAAGACGAAAGTGTTTGGGGAAAGGGAGGGAATGTGTTCTCATTTAAAAGTAGGAAACTCTAAGCAAAATAATAGCCCCATAAATAATTCCACATCCAAATTAAGGGTTTTTTGTTAAGCAAACCAGAGTTTGCTTAACCTCTGAGCCACATCTGCAGCCCTTTTTATTTTGAGACAGGGTCTCACTAAATTGCTTAGGGCCTTGCTAACTTGCTGAGGCTGGCTTTGAATTTGTGATCCTTCTGCCTCAGCCTTCTGAGTCACTGGGATTACTGGTGTGCATCACATGTCTGGCTTTAATTAAGGGTTTTGACAGGGAGATTATCCTAGATTGCCAGGTTGGCCCAGAGGGACAGGGTGCTACAGGAGGGAGGGAGGCGGCCAGGGCTGAGGAGACAGAGCTGTGGTGGGAGAGACAGTGAGCCACAGGTTGCGGGCCCTGTGGGAGCCGGAAACCACAGAGGACAGGCTCTCCCCTACAGCCTCCTGAGGGAGGTGGCCCTGAGACACCCTGGCTTGAGCTCAGGGAGACTCCTGACCTCCAGACTGTGAGATAACAAAGGTGTGTTGTTCAAGCACACAAGGCCTGGTGAGTTGTCATAGCAGAGGACAGGTAGGTGACAGAGGTAGAGATAACAAGTGCCTGATAGAAACATCCATCATCTCAAGTAGGATAAGGAGGAGGCAAGGCAGACAGGACACATCACTCCTTGCTTATGTTGGTGTTTTTATAATTAACATTTATTACTCCCCTAAATAATAATCCCAGTTATTCTGGAGGCTCAGGCAGGAGGATTGTAGGTTCAAGACCAGCCTGGACCACCCAGTAAGACCCTGTCTCAAAATAAAAAGGGCTCGGAATGCAGCACAGTGACATGGTGCCCCTGGGTTCAGTACCACTACAGAAAAAAATAAAACATAAAACATGGCTGGCATGGTGGCACACACCTGTAATCCCAGCAGCTCCAGAGGCTGAGGCAGAAGGATGGTGCATTCAAAGCCAGCCTCAGCAACTTAGTGAGGCTTTAAGCAACCTAGTGAGACCCTGTCTCAAAATGAAAAATAAAAAGGTTGTGGCTGTGGCTAAGGGCCTGGGTCCAATCCCTGGTGTGTGTGTGTGTGTGTGTGTATAAATCAAAACATAAGTATATCCTTAAAATAAAAATATAACCAATTTTTACCAACAGTCTGAATGGCGGGAGAACTAAGGATGGAAGGGAATGGACAAGAGCCTCCTGGCACACGCAGCTCTTTCCTTTTCTCTCCTGCAATTTGGTGAAGAATATCTATAACAGTCTCTGGTTTTCAGAGAGGATCCTCAGATAAATTGGGAAGGTCTCACAAACTTCCATAGGCAATAGCTTAAAATACACTGCTCATTTTATATTAGATTCACTTGGAGCACAGCAAGAGAAGAAAGGAAGCAGAAATAAGAGGAGTAAACACTTCCCACTGGAGCGACAAGACGTGTAAGCATCGGGAAACCTGAGCTGCAAGAAGTATAGAAAGTGTGTGCGCGCGCGCGTGCAATCTCCTCCATACATGCACAGGTAGATATATTTGAATTAGTTTTCCAGAGGATAGAACCAACAGCGCGGGTGCAAACGGTTCATCACCAGGAATCGGTTCGTACCATTCTGGGGACTGTGAGGTCTCACTGCCTGCCATCTGCCATCGAGAGAACCAGAGTGAAGCTAGAGGCTGCTGTTGAAGCCCTGAAATCTGGAACAAGAACCAGGAGCCCCAGTGTGCAAGGACAGGGTGTCCCAGCCGTAGAGCAGAGAGCTGCCTTCCCTGCACATCTCTTTGGTTCAGGCCCACGATGGGTCAGATGGAACCACTCACATAGTGAGGGTGGGTCTTCTTCGTTCAGTCAGATTCAGTCTCTTCCAGAAGCACTGTCACAGACACACCCAGAATCATACTTTACCGGCCATCTGGTCATCCCACAGCCCCTCAAATTGACAAAGAGTTTAATATCCTGACACTCACACGTGCGCACACACATACATTTGCCGTTCATTTGACTTTTATTATTATTAGGTTGTATTTAAAATTTCTTAGTTTGAGATACAGATTCCCAGGAAGCCACAAAACACTACAGAGATGCCTTTTGTGCCATTCTTCCAGTTTCCTCCCATGGTATACCTCGAGTAAACAGGGCCCAACTCCAAACCAGGGCATTAACATTGGCATGGTGTGCACTTATAGTTCTGGGTCTTTTTTTGGTAGGGGCAGGTAACTGGGGATTGAACTCAGGAGTACTTGACCACTGAGCCACATCCCCAGGCCTATTTTGTATTTTACTTAGAGACAGGGTCTCACTGAATTGCTCAGCGCCTCACTTTTGCTGAGGCTGGCTTTGAACTTGTGACCCTCCTGTCTCAGCCTCCCTAGCTGCTGGGATTATCGGAGTGTGCCACTACTTCTGGCTTGGTCCTTTTTCAAAGCAGTTTTATTGAGGTATAATTGATATACAAGGAACTGTAAAGGTACACATCTAGTGGTCCCCCCCTCCCATCTGAGGGGGACATGTCCCAAGACAGACACTCAAAGGACAACTGAGAGCTGTGGTAGAGCACCTGCCCAGCACAAGCGAGGCACCACATAAAAATAAATCAAGATACTGTGTCCATCTACAACTAAAAACAAATTAAAAAAAAAAAAAGGACACCGACACAGTGGGTAGTGCTGGCCCCACGTGCACAGCTTCCCGCTGAAGGGGCACCCCCCTCGCCCTGGCCCTCTGGGCCACCAGCGTCGCCGTCCCTCCGGGGCTACTGTAAGGCGAGGAGGACCTGAAGACAGCGTGAGAGGTGGCCCCGGGGGACTAGGGAGGACAGCACACACCGCGGGGGACACGACAGGGCAGGACTCCCGGCCCCGCAGGGCACGGCGAGCTCCCGCCGGCTACTCGGACGGGGCAGGGTTTAATCATCGACTTCTGGAATTTTTCATTCTACATCTTTGGCTGTGGTCGCTAGGGTAACCGAAGTCACCGCCGCAGAAGGTGACTCTGGTGCTGGCTGCAAAGGGCCGCCGCTGCTCGGGGCCGTCGGTGCTCGGCCGCCCACTCGCCCCCGCGTCTGCCCGCAGTGTGCCTGGCCACCACCCTCGGGGACCTGACGGCGGGGCGGCGGCTTTGGAACTGACCCACGCGTCAGCCTCAGTAGCACCCGCACGCCGCAGCACCGCCATGGCGGTGGCGCAACGCCGCTGGGCCCCAGGTTCTTCCGCCATCGCCGCTCCCCACCGTCCCGGGCCGCCCGCGCGCGCTCAGGACCGACGCGCCTCGCGGGGCCGCGCACGCAAGCGGGGGCCGCCGGGAGGAGCGCCGCGCCGTCGATGGCGGAGGCACGCTCGCGGAGGCCGCCTGGAGGAGCGCCGCGCCGTCGATGGCGGGGCCGCGCGCGTTGGCGGGGCCGCGCACGGCAGCGCGGCGGCCGCCATCTTCCTTCCCGGCGGCAGCGGCGGTGCAGGCGCGGGGTCAGCGGCGCGGCGGCGCCCCTCGCTCGGCCCGGCGGCGGGCGTGGACCAGGCAGGAGCCCGGGGGCCGCCCGCCCCTTCGCCGCCCGCGCGCCCGCCGGCTGGGTGCGGAGAGCAGACACCGCCCGGAGCGCCGGACCCGCCCGAGGCCGCCCGCGCCCCCCGGGCCGCGCAGATGGGATAGGCGGCGAAGATGTTCAGCTTCGAAGGGGACTTCAAAACGAGGCCCAAGGTGTCGCTCGGCGGCGCGAGCAGGAAGGTGAGGGCAGCGCCGGGCTGGGCCTGCCCGGGCGCGAGGGGGGCGCCGCTGCGGTGCCCGTGTCCCCCGCCCCGCCGCATCTCCCTGAGCCCTCGTCGTCCACCCTGAGCCCCCGTCGTCCACCCTGAGCCCCCGTCGTCCCCCTGAGCCCCCGTCGTCCCCCTGAGCCCCCGTGGTCCACCCTGAGCCCCCGTCGTCCCCCTGAGCCCCCATGGTCCACCCTGAGCCCCCGTCGTCCCCCTGAGCCCCCATGGTCCACCCTGAGTCTCCGTGATCCACCTGAGCCCCCGTGGTCCACCCTGAGTCTCGGGGGTCCACCCTGAGCCCCGGGGTCCCCTGAGACCCCGTGGTCCACCCTGAGACCCCGTGGTCCCCTCTGACTCCACTGTTCCTCCGCACCGCCGCGTCCACCCTGAGCCCCTGTCGTTCACCTGAGCCCCGGTGGTCCACCCTGACCCCCCCCCCCCGTCGTCTCCCCGCCCCGCCACGTCCACCCTGAGTCCTGATGGTCCACCTGAGCCCCAGCGTCCACCCTGACTCCCTGTGGACCCTCTGTGTCCCGTCCCCCCCACCCCCCCCACCCCCGCATTCACCCTGGCCCGCCTCCCAGCCCCCGGCACTCCCCACCACCCTGCGGCGCAGATGACCACTCTGACCCGCCGCGTCCTCCTGCCGGCGGTGTCCACCCAGCCCGTAATGTCCGCGTGCATGATGGCCAGCGAGTCCTGGGAGTCCCGAGCCGCTGGCGTCGGGTGGCCCTGCCCCGCTGCTCCGCCCCTGCTTCGGACCCAGTCGTGTGGGCCCTGTGCTTGCGGTGCTGGTAAAGTTGGCCAAGTTTAATGGGCCGCAGTGTACATAGTGGTCTTTCCCCCCTCGGGGATAGCTTGTCGCCCTTCCAGCGGGGTTGGCTTTTAACCCCGGACCGGTTTTCAAGTCCTAGTAAGAACTGCCCCAAAAGTTGTAAGCCAGGGTGGTTTCTGAGGGCAGTGGAAGTGGACCTGGGCCCAGGTGGGCGAGAAGTGTGCTGGCACCTTTAACATTTGAGGTGTCTGGTGGTGATTGGTGGAAGTAGCTGCAGAGCTAGGTGCTGGAAATAGGTACTTCTCAGGCATAATTGAGTTGGAAGGGGCTTGTGAACTACTGACAGTTTCATACCAGAACAGGGTTCTACAGGCGGGACTTGAGAGAACTCCAGGACAGAGTTGGCGGTGGAAAGATTGCATACTTCTTTTTGGAGCTAGTAGCACCTCCCATGTTGCCGCTGTATGCATGGACCTTGTGGCTTCTGTGGTCATGAGTGCCTGGCTTGTCCTGACACAGGCTTGGAGTTTTTTCACCAAGTAACACATCTTTACTTATCTGTTGATCAGAATCTCAAGGCAAGGTGAGATTTTGCTCCCCGCCCTCCTACCAGGAATTGAACTTGGGGGCACTGAGCCACATTCTCAGCCCTATTTTGTATTTTATTTAGAGACAGGGTCTCACTGAGTTGCTTAGCACCTCGCTTTTGCTGAGGCTGACTTTGAACTTGGTTGGGATCCTCCTGCCTCAGCCTCCGCAGTCAGGCATGCACCACCGCACCTGCACATTTTGCTTTTTAACTGTGCAAAACAGTTCCCTCCTTTTAAAAACTTGACCCTGTCAGATCCACATACCTTAATCATCTTACAGTGGTCCTCCTGCCTGTGAAATTGGAACAGGTGAGGGGCAGGTAGCAGAGTCTTCCTGGCCATGGGTCTAGCTTTGGCCCATTCCCACTGAGAGAGTCCCAGAGTTGTCCTCTCTTCAGGCATGGGTCCCCAAGGTCATTCTCCAGAGAGGGCAAATGGGGAGTGGGTGCCCTGGGCCAGTACAGGAATCTGGGTGGGAACTAGGGCTAAATTTAGCTTAAAAGTTTTTTACACCCATATGTAGATGGCTCAGTGCTCACATCAGATGAAGAACATTCTTAGGAGTCTCTTTCAGTGTTCTTCCTCCTGGGGTGACTCCTCCTCTGACCTTATTTTCCATAAATGAGCTTTCCTGTTGTTCCTAGGTAAGGTTGCATACATCCTGTCCTTTCTTTGTGCTTCTTTGACTCAGCGTCATCTCTGAGATACATCCCGATGTGCCACCCTGGTCCACTGTGTGATCATGCCACAGTCCATTCTGTTTTTCAAGGGCATTTGTTGTTGTGTGTCTTGGTGAACATCACTTATCTTGTAGGTCATGTGTCATCTGTGAGCCACCCTCAGCAGGGTGCCTGCCAGTGCTGCGGCCAGCAGCATCAGAGAGGGTCAGAGGCTCCATGTCTTTGCCAACACTTGGTTTTGTGAGTCCTTTTCATTTTGGCAAGTCTGGGAGGGCTGTGGATTCCTTGTGGCCTTACTTTTGTTCCCTGGTGGCCAGTGGATTGAGCACTGTAATGCCAGATTCGTGGGACCCCAATAGACCTCCAGGAGCCAAATCCAATGCAATCACACAAGAGTCTTTTTTTTTTTCCACACAAGAGTCTTTATTGCAAGCTCGAGCCTGACTCACAACCATTTCCAAAGCAGCGGTCCCAGAGAGTGAGTCCCAACCCTTAGTTCAGTGAGGATTTATAGGTTTGGGGGGATACTCTATGCGTCACAACATCACACAGCAATCATTTCACACTACGGGGAAAATCAAACAACTCTTAACATTGATTAGCACACTCACTGGCGGGAACAAGTCGGGTAAGGGTGATTGGTTAGTTCAAGTGGTGCATACATTTGAACTGATTGGTTTAGGCCACGAGGAGTTGCAAGAGTGTGTGAGGAGTTGCAAGAGTGTGTGCGCTAAACTGCTGGGAGGCCTAATCATGTTATCAGTTACCGAAACTACTTGGAGGGTCACCTGGCATTTCAGATATTTTCCCTATCTCTCGCTGATTGGTGATTGCTAGGGGGTTGCTATGGGTCCTCACCTGGCCTGACTGAGTCAGGAACACCTGACCAGCAGATCTCTCCTGTTAAACAACTCAGCAGGGTGGGTATGTGCCTGGAAGCGCTCTGTGGGTTTCTCCAAGGACAAGGGTCACACCCCCTCCCTCTGGACAGGCCTTGAGGTAGAAGCTGGTTTCTCAAAAATGGGAGTCACATCCGTTTCACAAAACCTATAAATCCTCACTGAACTAAGGGTTGGGAGTCACTCCCTGGGACCTACATGTGCGTGTTCTTCACTCTCTTTGGGTCTACAAGAGTCCTTTCCCTTATTGAATAAACAAAAATCATAGTGAGCTTTTCTTCATGTCTTAAGTGATTATTTGGAGTCTTCCCTTTCTTCAGCTTAGTGGGAAACCAGATATCACCTTTTGAATAAATATATCTTCTAAATTAAATGAGTATTTGTAGTGTTTATTAATCTATAAAGGCTCTGTAGAGGAAGTCTTGACAAGCTTATAATCTTGCTGGGAAGGTAAAATTTAAAACTTGACAAGTGAGGCTGGGGTTGTGGCGCGTGTGAGGCCTTGGGTTCCGTCCTCAGCACCACATAAAGACAAACAAATAAAATAAAGGTATGTGTCCATCTACAACTAAAAAATATTTTAAAAAAATAAAACGTGACAAGTTAAATAGCAGTAGACTGGTTACTGAGCTGTGGATCTCCCGTGGGCTGACCCGGGAGTGCGAGCTGCTTGGCCCTGTCCTGCAGTGCAGAACAGGCCCTCGGAGCACTAGGTGTAGACGGCTTTTACTTCTTAATACTTCTGAAATCAGGTACATGTTGATGACATGACATATTTTAATTGGCACATTTTTTTTCTTAGTACATAGAATACCATTTTGGGGTCATTTGATTTCAACTCCACTGAACCCACTTAGTAAATCAAAATTTAAGGGAAAAAAGTCAATAAGGGGGATGATGGTAGCTCACAGAAAGTAAAGGTCAGAAACTTAACCAGAATCTGGGTTGTCAGTACCATGGTAGTTAGCATCTTTCTTGAGCTTATTCTTGCCTCTGCAGGCAGCGCTGTTTCTCCCTCACGTGATCTTGGCTGTGTGGTTACCTGATCACACGCATTGATCTCAGTTCCAGAGTCTGGAGAGGAAGCTTGCTCGGCTTGGGTTTGGTTCCATTTGGGAGCTGAGTCGGAGCAGGGCTGGAGTCTCCTGGCACAGAGCGCCTAGGTGTGTGTCAGGGCTAGGAGGGGACGCCCGAGGAGTGGTGGGTTCTTGTGGGGTGCAGCAGTGCATTGTACATGGGGGAGGGAGGCACTTGGGCAGAAATCTGGGTGGCTGTCAGCAGACCTTGGCTTAGAATGTTGAGTCCTAGGAGAACATGCATTTTAGGACAGGAGGGAAGAGTGGCCAGCAGTGCTGACTGCTGCAGGGGTGGCCGAGGCATGTACTAACCACCCCTGGGATTTGGAACTATGGAGACCTTGGTTATGAGTAGCAGGAGTTAGAGGTCAGAGTGTAGGAAGGACCCTGCAGACCATCTGGAAGTCAAGGGAGTAGACCTATTAGAAAGGGCCCAGAAGATGGAAGCCAGGGAGAGGGGGTTCAGGGTCTAAGGAGCATTTTGGGGAATGAAGAAGGATTACTCAAATAGAGAGGAGAAAGGAAGGAAAGGGGTTGTGGCTTTCAGAGACCTGGAGGAGGCAAGAGCCCCGGCAGAGTCAGGTGTAAGCAGAAGGAAAGAAGTCAGTGGGTGGGTGTGGTCAAAAAGGGTTCAGTTTTGTTGAGTTGCCGCAGGTAGTTGATTAATAGTGGCAGTAGATTGAGATCACTTCAGTGTTCAGGCCCATGACGTGCTCTCTTTCTTGTTTTTCTTCTTTTGTCTTTTTTGGTTTGTTTGTTCTGAGAATTGAACCCAGGGGCATTTTACCACTGAGCTATATCCCCAGCCTTTTTTAATTTTTTATTATTAAATGGAGTCACACTAAGTTGCTGAGATTGGCCTTGAACTTGCTACCCTCTTGCCTCATCCTCCCACGTCCTGGGATTATAGGTATGGCCACCCTGTCCAACTGTCCACGGCTTAAAAACAAAACA